AGTGATTTTCTGATTTCGGCCGAAGCCGAAAATATGCAGAAACCGAAAATGAAATAATTAGATATTTTTAAATTCGTTCCCGCATACATTCTGCATACATCGAAAATGATGGAGGAAAGTATAAATATTTATAGTTTTTTTTATAAATAATGAGATAATCGTGAATATTAATAAATAAACATCTAATATAGGGGTCTCAAACTCGCGGCCCGCGAGCCATTTGTGACCCGCAAGATGATATATTATAAAACTAAACTTTTCTATCATGTAACGGGCCGCAAAATATCGTCTGACGCGGTTAGTTTGTTCTTAAAGATCGCTTAGTTTGTTCTTAAAGATCATTTAGTTTGTTATTAAAAATCGTTCAGTTTTTTGTTAATGATCGCTCCATTTGTTCTTAAAGTTCGGTAAGTTTGTTCATAAAGATTGCTTAGTGTGTTGTTAAAAATCGTTTAGTTTGTTTTTTAAGATCGCTTAGTTTGTTCTTAAAGATCGCTTAATTTTGTTTAAAGATCTTTTAGTTTGTTCTTAAACATCATTTAGTTTGTTCAAAAAATATCGCTAAGTTTTTTTCTTAAAGATCGCTTAGTTTGTGGTATTAAAATATCGTTTAGTTTGTTCATAAAGATCGCTTAGTTTGTTATTAAAGATCATTGATTTTGTTCTTAAATATCGCTTAGTTGTTCTTAAAGATCATTCAGTTTGTTCTTAAAGATCATTTAGTTTGTTTTTATAAATCTTTTAGTTTGTTATTAAAAATTGTTTAATGTGTTCTTAAACTAAAGATTTCTTATTTTTTTGTTGAAGATCGCTTAGTTTGTTCATAAAGATCACTTAGTTAGTTCTTAAAGATGATTTATTTTGTTCCTTAAGATCGATTAGTTAGTTTTTAAAGATCTTTTAGTTTGTTCTTAAAGAACATTTAGTTTTCTGTTAAAGATTGCTTAGTTTATTCTTATAAATCATTTAGTTTACTATTAAAGATCATTTGTTTTGTTATTAAAGATCATTTAGTTCATTTTTAAAAATCATTTAGTTTGTTCTTTAAGATCGTTTAGTTTGTTATTACAGATCGCTTAGATTGTTCTTAAATATCGCTTATTTAGGTTTAAAGATCGTTTAGTTTGTTCTTAAATGTCGCTTAGTATGTTGTTAAATATCGTTTAGTTTGTTCTCAAAGAGCGCTTATTTTGTTCTTAAAGATAGCTTTATTTGTTTTAAAGATCGTTTAGTTTGTTCTAAAAGATCGCTTAAATTGTTCTTAAAGATCGTTTTGTTTGTTCTTAAATGTCGTTTAGTTTGTTGTTAAATATCACTTTCGTTGAGTATTAGATGACCGAAAACCTCAGTCACTTTCAGCCGGATGGCCAGATGGACGAAAGTCTAAGCCAATTTCGGTTGAAACCAAAAAAACCGAAAGTTAACTTCTCTCTTTCGGCCGAAACCGAAATTAAGCCGAAAGTTAACTTTTCAGTTTCGGCCGAAACCGAAACTTGGCCGAAAGTGATAAAATGGCCACTTTCGGCGCCGAAACCAAAGCCAAAATTCGGTCGGTCTCTATATTACTGTCAATGTGGTCTAAGTTCCATTGAACTCTCTCTCTCTCTCTCTCTCTCTCTCTCTCTCTCTCTCTTTTTCTAATGAACAGCCATTCTAAACATCTTTTTACTTTAACAATATTTATTTTTAATAAGTTTTTATCCAAAAAAATTATACATTATTTATTTTAGAACCGTTTTGACTCAACTGGTATTTTTTATGTGGTTGGCATATGAGCGGGATAGAGGCTTTTCAAGGGTTTCCAGGCCACAACTAAATGGGGTAAGTTTATTGATAAAAGGGACTTACGCTTGCGTTAAACGGTATCTCTCTTTTTATCATTCAAATAATTCGGAAGTTTTGTTCTCTTTAAAACTAACAAACCAGAAATCCTTCAAATTGAAACATAATCTAAACCAGGGTGGGGAAACTTCGGCTCGCAAGACATAATATAGGTACCTGGATTGATGCAAGACATTCAGGTCACTGGATTGATGCAAGACATTTAAGTTACTGTATTGATAAAAGACATTAAGGTTAATGTATTGATGCAAGAAATTTAGGTTAATTGATTGATGCAAGACATTTAGGTTGATTGATGCAAGACATTTAGGTTACTGGATTGAAGCAAGGCATTTGAGTTATTGGATTGATGCCAGAAATTTGAGTACTGTATTGATGCAAGACATTTGAGATTCTGTATTGATGCAAGACGTTTGAGTTACTGTATTGATGCAAGCCATTTGAGTTATTGTATTTATGCAAGACATTTAAATGAATATATTTATGCAAACCATTTAAATGAATATATTGATGCAAGACATTTAAATGAATATATTGATGCAAGACATTTAAATGAATATATTGATGCAAAACATTTGAATGAAAATATTGATGCAAGACATTTAAATGAATATATTGATGCAAGACATTTAAATGAATATATTGATGCAAAACATTTGAATGAATATATTGATGCAAGACACTTAAATGAATATATTGATGCAAGACATTTAAATGAATATATTGATGCAAGACATTTAAATGAATATATTGATGCAAGCCATTTGAGTTATTGTATTTATGCAAGACATTTAAATGAATATATTTATGCAAACCATTTAAATGAATATATTGATGCAAGACATTTAAATGAATATATTGATGCAAGACATTTAAATGAATATATTGATGCAAAACATTTGAATGAATATATTGATGCAAGACATTTAAATGAATATATTGATGCAAGACATTTAAATGAATATATTGATGCAAAACATTTGAATGAATATATTGATGCAAGACACTTAAATGAATATATTGATGCAAGACATTTAAATGAATATATTGATGCAAAACATTTGAATGAATATATTGATGCAAGACACTTAAATGAATATATTGATGCAAGACATTTAAATGAATATATTGATGCAAGACATTTAAATGAATATATTGATGCAAGCCATTTGAGTTATTGTATTTATGCAAGACATTTAAATGAATATATTTATGCAAACCATTTAAATGAATATATTGATGCAAGACATTTAAATGAATATATTGATGCAAGACATTTAAATGAATATATTGATGCAAGACATTTAAATGAATATATTGATGCAAGACATTTAAATGAATATATTGATGCAAGACATTTAAATGAATATATTGATGCAAAACATTTGAATGAATATATTGATGCAAGACATTTGAATGAATCAATGCCCCGGCATTACTCAACCCGACATGTTCTTGGTGTGTAAAGTTATCAGCTTGTTTTGTGATGTTAGCGGCCCGTGTTTCGATGCAATATGATCATTTTGTCATTTGCTTAGTTTACGATCATATTTTCTGGTTTTGTGGGCTTGTTTTGTGATTTTATGGACTTAGTTTGTGATTTTATGGGCTTAGTTTGTGATTTTATGGGCCTTTTTTTGTGATTTTATGGGCTTAGTTTGTGATTTTATGGGCTTAGTTTGTGATTTTATGGGCTTTGTTTGTGATTTTATGGGCTTAGTTTGTTATTTAATGGGCTTAGATTTTTTTTTTACTTGCTTGGTTTTTTTTTATAACATGGGCTTTGTTTGGGACGTCATTCCTAGTAGATGAGGCCGGAATCAAAAATGGAAATGGGTCAACTAGCCGTCCGACGATTTCGCCACAGAGGGACACAGGAACAATAGCGAAGTTAATCTACAGGATTTAAGCAAAATCCTCTAATCAAATTTTCCCCCTGTAGGGCGTGGGGCCATAAGTTGAGAAACAGGGCTATTATAGACACTTCCTCCCCCATGCGTCACGAGCCCAAAGGCGGGAAAAGCATTCATTAAACAAAACTAACACACAAGACGCACCGTGCTCATTAAAACGCAACATTGACAACAATGCAAGTGAACATCCATGCTCGACAACAACCTATTCCCTCTGCGGAGCAGACACGTTAAATCACGATCATATGAGGGGCAGCGTCAACCCCCATTATGTCGACACAGGATTCTTTTCTAGCCGTTCACAAGGTGAACACTGCACGAGAAATCTTAAAAGGTGACGCGTGAAAAAAAATTACGTTGCATCCACACAGAAGAGGGAAATGCGAGTAGAGAAAAAGCCTTTTATTCAAAAAGTGTTTAAAAAGTTTATATATAGTTTATTATTTTAATGACGTCATTCAACACTTTCATAAGCCCAGTAGCCATTGTTTCCTCGAGGCTAACTCCTGTATAAGAAAAAAACAAACATAATGGCTGCCGCTCCACGTCTTTGCTTTTATGTTCTCAACTACATGTTTCTGCACAAAGAGATCTACACAGTTAAACATTTATCTTGTGTTTTGTATTCCTTGACATTATCAAAATTTTTAAAATTTATTCTTTCCAAAAAGAAATCCCATGGAATAAAGACACAAGTAAAGGTGCAACTCGAGCAGTCTCACTTTAAGGCAAAATCATTATCTCTCGGCGGTCACCGCTATAGACTACATTTTTATCAATAAACACACGCTCTACGTCTAACAATCTCGATATAAAGATAATAAGTTTTTTTTCACTAAAAAACTTTAATCGCTTTTGTGTTCTTTAGAACATAAACCACATGTGGGCCCATGCACCCTGTTCCTTACTAGTTTAAAAAGATTTTGTATTATTAAAAAAAACAAAACAAAAAAAACCAACTAAATATATTTCTTTCTTTTTCTTTTCTAGGTCTTTAAAAGAGTGAATGTCACCCGGTTTGCTTGCCCCGCCGTGTTTGCCGTGACACTAGTAGTGGTCTATCTACACTACGAAAGCACGACAGAACACAAGTTATCAGAGACAACACAGCACCAAACTTCAACTCCAGAACCGTTATCATTTATAGAAGAAACGATTCCTACCGTACATTTCGATTTCAAATTTGTTGACAACAAAGCTTCATTCGAAAGGAAACCGCAAAATGTGACGCAACAAAGTAAACCCACGTCGTCTACACCAAGAAATTTGCCCCCTTCTATTACTCATCCGGAAGTGCAAGTTGGAGTAAAAAAGAGATATCTGGTGTATGTCTGTGACAACCGAGAACTGTGTGGTGGCATTGGTGACAGGCAGAGAACCATAACGTCCTTCTTTCTGTTGGCCAGACTTAGCAATCGACAGTTTTACATGATCATGTCGAGTCCTTGCAATTTTAACAATTTTTACATACCCAGAAACTACCAATGGGAGCCTAACATGACGGAGTTAGAACCGCCCAATGAGAAAAATACCCTTTCTTTCCTGACGTTTTGTAAGGTAGGCGATGAGTTTATGAAACAGTTGAGTGAAGGTGACTTCAACACAAAATATCCACAGAAAGTCATCTATTTTAGAACAAATTACGATATTTCTGAACCCCTGTGCATCAACCCATTTTATTCAAAACTCATGGAGCAGTGGAACGGCTTACAAGACAAGCGCGACAGATTTCACTGGGCCTGGCATGAACTGATGCAACCTGCTCCAAAACTCATGACGAATTTGGAGCGCGTCTTAGGCAGTAGATTTTTGTGCAGGAAAGGTCTGATGTCTCCGTCTCAAGTCAAGACATCAAACATAAAACCGTTGTATGACGTTGGTGACTCGAAACTCATCTGTGCGCATGTCCGAATGGGCGGTAACCCATCAATACCCATGGACGGCCATTATGTTAGGGTGCCCTTAAGCGAAATACCAACTATACACAAATTTATGTTGTCAAAAGACACAGACGGCAAGGCCATGTTTTACGTCGCAACAGACTACATCAACATTCGCATCAGATCACACAACAAGTTTGGGAAAAGGTTTATTGATTATGGTGCTAAAATATTCCACATAGATCTCCAGCGAAGCGGAAATGATATATGTGAAGGATTCGGAGATGCTGCCTTGGATCAGTTGATCTTAAGTCTGTGTGACGTATTGGTGGTGTGCAACAGTGGCTTTGGTGTTGGGGCCTACTATATAAGTAATAGCACTGGACATGGATACTATGTAGAGAATGAGGAAGTTTTTCTATTTAAGGAAAAGACAGCTAATTACTAACAGTCACACCTGGCTCATTTTAAGCAAGGAAAGTACTGCAACAATCATTTCTATCATTAAGTTGATTGCAATCAGAGCGTGATTTTTATCATCATCATCCTAAATATCCATAATGAGTTGACCAGTCATCCTAAATATCCATAATGAGTTGAACTAACATCATAAATATCCATAATGAGTTGATCTATCATCCTAAATATCCACAATGAGTTGAACTATCATCCTAAATATCCATAATGAGTTGAACTATCATCCTAAATATCCATAATGAGTTGAACTATCATCCTAAATATCCATAATGAGTTGAACTATCATCCTAAATATCCATAATGAGTTGATCTATCATCCTAAATATCCATAATAATTTGAACTATCATCCTAAATATCCATAATGAGTTGAACTATCATCCTAAATATCCATAATGAGTTGAACTATCATCCTAAATATCCATAATGAGTTGAACTATCATCCTAAATATCCATAATGAGTTGAACTATCATCCTAAATATCTATAATGAGTTGATCTATCATCCTAAATATCCATAATGCGTTGATCCATTATCCTAAATATCTGTCATGAGTTGAGCTATCAACCTAAATATCCATAATGAGTTGACCTAAAATCCTAAATATCTAAAATCAGTTGACCTATCATGCTAAATATATTTCATGAGTTGACCTATCTTCCAAAATATATATCATTAGTTGACATATCCTTGGAAATAAGCATGATGAGTTTATCTATTATCCTAAATATCCATCATGAAATGACCTATTATCCTAAATATCCATAATAATTTTCCCTGTCATCCTTATTATCCATCATAATTTGATCCATCCTCCTAAATATCCATAAAGATTAACCCATCACCCTAAATATCCATCAGCAGTTGATCTTATCCTCCTAAATTTCCATCATGAAATGTTCCCATCAAGCTAAATATTCATCCCGAGGTAAACTAAAAAAAAAAAAAAAGAAATATCCGTTATGATATGTCCCATTCGCCTTACCACCCATCACGAAATGTCCCCACTCACCTAACTACCCATCATGAGATGTCCCCACTCACCTAACTACCCATCATGAGATGTTCCCATGAGCGCATCCTTCTAAATAAAAAAATAATATTAAAAATCAATGTACTCGTTTTCTTCTACCTTATCACCTTTACGACGTTTCAGCGAGACTTAATCCTTAATTTTACAGTATCTTCTGGTGCCTTTATGTAACATGTATATTTTGATGGCTGTGATCCCAACGGTTACCGGAAATTTTATCGAAAGAAATTGCGTCGACGGAAAATTGATCAACGCAAATTAGATCGAACAGAAATTTGGTCGAATCTTTTTTTTTTCAGTCCACACGCTCAAATTTTGGTCAAATTTCTTTTTGAACGTACCCTATTATATAGTAAAACAAAACAATGCGTTCAAAAAGAAATTTGAAACAAAACGTGCACTCTCCAGCAGACGATACAGAACAAGACAGCATACACTCATCTATGGAAAGTTAAACAAAAAATATGTGTAAGAAAATATCAATGAAGTCAACGTAGATCAATGTTTTCCTATGTTAACGGAGAATTAAAAAAACAACAAAAAAAAATAAAAATAATATGAATAATGCACGGAATAAGTCAATGTAGATTTTGAGTGTTGATAAAATTCACTAACTCGACGTTATCACTTCTCCAGTAATTGTTACATTCAACCATGCTATATTTATTCTTCAGAGTAGTCCACTCGCCTAAGACAAGCGCTCCAAATGAAAAAAAAAAAGAAAAGGAAATAGACGCAAACCTAACTTTTTAATTTTTTTTTAGTGTAAGCATTCGTTAGTTATCTATAAACGGGTAATTCCTTCCGTCAATAACTTTATGTTGTTTGGTAAATTTCTCTCTACTCTTTTTTTTTTAAAAAGACAACTCTCTTTTTTTAAATAACACTTTTCTTAGATAACTCTCTCTTTCTTAGATAACTCTCTCTTTCTTAGATACCTCTCTCTTTCTTAGATACCTCTCTCTTTCTTAGATAACTCGCTCTTTCTTAGATACCTCTCTCTTTCTTAGATAACTCTCTCTTTCTTAGATACCTCTCTCTTTCTTAGATAACTCTCTCTTTCTTAGATACCTCTCTCTTTCTTAGATACCTCTCTCTTTCTTAGATAACTCTCTCTTTCTTAGATACCTCTCTCTTTCTTAGATACCTCTCTCTTTCTTAGATAACTCGCTCTTTCTTAGATACCTCTCTCTTTCTTAGATAACTCTCTCTTTCTTAGATACCTCTCTCTTTCTTAGATACCTCTCTCTTTCTTAGATACCTCTCTCTTTCTTAGATACCTCTCTCTTTCTTAGATAACTCTCTCTTTCTTAGATACCTCTCTCTTTCTTAGATAACTCTCTCTTTCTTAGATACCTCTCTCTTTCTTAGATACCTCTCCCTTTCTTAGATACCTCTTTCTTTCTTAGATACCTCTCTCTTTCTTAGATACATCTCTCTTTCTTAGATACCTTTCTCTTTCTTAGATAACTCTCTCTTTCTTAGATACCTCTCTCTTTCTTAGATAACTCTCTCTTTCTTAGATACCTCTCTCTTTCTTAGATAACTCACTCTTTCTTAGATACCTCTCTCTTTCTTAGATAACTCTCTCTTTCTTAGATACCTCTCTCTTTCTTAGATACCTCTCTCTTTCTTAGATACCTCTCTCTTTCTTAGATAACTCTCTCTTTCTTAGATAACTCGCTCTTTCTTAGATACCTCTCTCTTTCTTAGATACCTCTCTCTTTCTTAGATACCTCTCTCTTTCTTAGATACCTCTCTCTTTCTTAGATACCTCTCTCTTTCTTAGATAACTCTCTCTTTCTTAGATACCTCTCTCTTTCTTAGATACCTCTCTCTTTCTTAGATAACTCTCTCTTTCTTAGATACCTCTCTCTTTCTTAGATAACTCGCTCTTTCTTAGATAACTCTCTCTTTCTTAGATACCTCTCTCTTTCTTAGATACCTCTCTCTTTCTTAGATACCTCTGTCTTTCTTAGATACCTCTCTCTTTCTTAGATAACTCCCTCTTTCTTAGCTAACTCTCTTTTTCTTAGCTAACTCTCTTTTTCTTAGCTAACTCTCTTTTTCTTAGCTAACTCTCTTTTTCTTAGCTAACTCTCTTTTTCTTAGCTAACTCTCTTTTTTTTAGCTAACTCTCTTTTTCTTAGCTAACTCTCTTTTTCTTAGCTAACTCTCTTTTTCTTAGCTAACTCTCTTTTTCTTAGCTAACTCTCTTTTTCTTAGCTAACTCTCGTTTTCTTAGATACATTATATCTTACTACTCTCTATGTTGTTTGGCATAAATAAGCCTCTGCTCTCCAAGTTATTTATAAATATCATTGTTCTCTGTGTTGCTAGCTATACAGTTTGAATGGCTTATGTAACTAAGGTATTAAAGAGAGAGAGAGAGAGAGAGAGAGAGAGAGAGAGAGAGCGAGAGAGAGCGAGAGAGCGACAGAGAGACAGATAGAGATAATGAGAGTGTGAGTGAGAGAGAGATAGAGAGCGAGTGATAGAGAGATAGAGAGAGTCAGAGAGTCAGAGAGAGAGAGAAAGTAGTTTTTACAATTTTGTCAGATGACAAATAAATATATATTTTATTAGTTAGTGAAAAAACAACAAGACAAGAATGTAGGCAGGAGTAGATTTTAAATATAAATGTTAACATTTTATCTTAAAGCAGCTCCTTGAAGCTCCCAGTTCCAGGGTCCCGTCATGAAATATTATATCGGGAGGGAGGGTAGGGGCATTTTAGATGTCTGCAGCGACATGGCTCCCACCATCGCATAATAATAGTTTAATGGTGCACTGCTAGCTATGGCTTCGCACCCCGCCCCCCCCCCATCTTACACAAAGTGAGTCTAGTCTCTACGTGGCACTCCTGGCCTGGTGGTAAGTATTTAACCCCAACTTAATTTCGCCCCCTTGTTATTTACGACCCTATTTAATAACTAAATTAAACGAATTCTTGCAATATCTTTAAATTAAAAAAAAAACAACAAAATAAATATTTTATTATTATTTTTTTTGTAGAAGCGACTTCATTAGTAAGGGAATAAAAACCATTTACCCGAAAAATGTTATCAGTCAAGATAAAGTGATGTTATCAGTCAAGATAAAGTGATGTTATCAGTCAAGATAAAGTGATGTTATCACCATTAGAAAAAAACAACAACAAAAAACTTATAACAATGACATTTTTGAATTTATTTAACTTTTTAATATTTCAAAAAAGTAGAACAAAAATATCTTGGTTTTATTGTGTGGAAAAGGTCGAGTGGTCCTTTATAACTATTTAAACAGGTCACTTGAAGCTTTCCAGTCAGCATACAGGGCGCATCACTCTACTAAGACAGCCATGTTGCGCGTGGTAAACGACCTTCTGTAGCCTTGTGATAATGGCCAGGTATCCCTTTTGTCGTTACTTGATTTACCGGCAGCTTTCGATACGCTCGACCACGGCATAATTTTCTAACGTCTGCAAAAAAGTTCGGTCTCACCGATACCGTCCTGAGATGGTTCCGGTCGTATCTAAAAAATCGGGTCTAGTCAGTTCTTTCAAACGGCTTGACCTCGAAGCAAACTAATATCGAATTCGGAGTACCCCAGGGCTCAAGCCTATGCCCAGGTTTTTTTCACTATGTACGTTCAGCCCCTGGGTGCAGTGATTAAGCAGTTTGACACGCTATAGCACATGTACGCGGATGATAACCCAAGTTCATCAATCCGTGATCCCCTCTCAGTTCTCTTAACTTCTTAGTATGACACAGAAGACAGTGGAATCAGTTAAACCCTGGATGACCATAAACAAGCTCAAATTGAATGATGAAAAGACCTAGCTGATCCCCATTGCCACCGCGCAGAAGCAAAAATCTGTATATAACACAACATCACTTACTCTCTCAGGTGTGCGAATTGAGTTTGCTCAAACAGTGCACACCTAGGTGTCTACCTAGAT